TTTAGGTTGCGGTAATTAGAATGTATAGATATGAATGTAAGGACTGCATGGCACTATGAGATACAGGATATACTTATTAGAAATAAAAGGAAAGTTATAGTGCTAGGAAGGAGTTTATTCCAGGAGAAAGACCCTTGGAAATGAATTCAGACATGTCAATTATCCAGGTACAATGTGTCTTACCAATATAGGACCACAGCCTTTAGGTAGACAAGAGAGAATAAACTGCAAAAATCTCTCACCAACGTAAGATTTACCAGTACCTGGTGGTCCCTAATCAACAAAAGATGGATAATACTCCAATTTTGAGTTCTGGTTTGCTCTGTGTTAGCCTCAAAACCAAGTAACATATTTTTTTGTTTCATTGATAACTCAAGAAAACGCATGGAATTTTGTGAAGAAAGACAATAAATTTGATTTGAAATCTCACACTTTTACGCTCACAATAAAGAATATTTTGCGCGCAAATGAGGCTAACACAGAGCATTGGAGAATTCGAAACTGGAGTATTACTGTATATGTCAATCAATCAATCAGTCTCTGTACCCAGTCTCCCACGGTATGAAATCGGGCAATAGATCACTCAGTCGTCAATCAGCTGATCAATCAAGCAACAAAGTCTTATTTGTCCAAGAAGATACACAGGGACACCTCCCTCCCCCCCTCCCCCGCACCCCCCACCTATCAAAAATAAACCAAGGACTACCGCCCCATAAAAGATGATGAGGGGGACACTGGCGAAAAACGCACTGCGCATGTCCACAGCTTTCCCGCTGAAATCTGCCTAATTTCCTTTGTAAAGCGATTTTTGTGAAAGTTTTTTACAATTTATACGCTCGTTCACCGATATATAAGATTCGTATTTCCATCAATCATTGTTCATGATAGGTCCTTTTGGTATGTAGTTTCTATTTTTATCTTGTCATTTCTATTTTGAGAAAATGAGGTTTTTCGTAGTGTTTTCTGTGTTGTCGCTGTAAATTGCCAGGTGCTCTGTTTACAGATTTCAAGACGCGGGCGCCCACTGGCGGGAAAGCTGTGGGCATGCGCAGTGCGTTTTTCACCAGTGTCGATAAGGAGGCCTACCTGTATCAAACCAAGTTTGTTACGAAGTGCCTGATTTACTGCATCAAGCTGTTTTTCATCCATCTTTGGTTCRCATTTTGGATCATTCCTCTGATCTCTAAATTCTTTAAGAAGCTCGCCATAACTATAATCCATGGTGATCAATCTTTCGTGTGGGTTTTTAAAGAATATCCCCCAGTCTGGTCTGGTCTTAATGTTCTTCAGATAGTCAGGGGGTTGATTAGTGCATGTCTTGACCTCCACAAGCTGCTCCTTAAAAGGTATACTCTCTAATGATGATACAAAATATACTGTTTTAGTATAAACATACTCTAATGGTCTATCACTCATACTGGGCTGTGATTGGCTACTCTACTAATGGTCTAATTTGTGATAGACCACTCGTGGGAAAATCAATCTCATTATAAAATTATTTTAAGGATATTTCAATTAGTTTTCATTATTTGACCGATTAGTATGTTTATACTAAAACAATTAGACCACTCGGCCTCGTGGACTACAAGCTAATAGCCCATTCGGCCTCGCAGACTCACTCATAGTCCACTCGACCTCGAGGTCTATAGAAATTTTATCTATTAATATAATAGTGCCACCATGCATTTATTGAATGTCATTGTTTAATGCTGAAATGTCTGCGTGAGAGATTTCRCTGATGATGATAGTGATGAATAATCATTTACCTTTGTGTTGTAATACATCCATAGGAGGTCCATATGCCACATAGAAGGTGTTACTCTCAAACATGTACGCTTCATCACCTGGGTTTCAGACAATGATAATAATAATAACAATTAGACCTCGAGGTTGAGTGGACTACGAGCTAATAGCACATGAAGCCGAGTCCGCGAGGCCGAATGGGCTATTAGCTTGTAGTCCACAAGCCCGAGAGGTCTAATTGTTTTAGTATAAACATACTAATCGGTCAAATAATGAAAACAAATTGAAATATCCTAAAAATAATTTTTTAATGAGATTGATTTTCATGCAAGTGGTCTATCACAAATTAGACCATTTAAGTAGAGTAGCCAATCACAGTGCAGTATAAGTGATAGACCATTAGTATGTTTATACCAATACAGTATGTGTGCTGCCCGAAGAAGTTAGCACTTGCTCTGGAGTGAAGAGAGTCAAGAGACCAATCACTGTTTTCATGAAATAACAATGAAATCACAAGTCGAAAGCATGGATTGGTGATCATTTGTGTTGGCACTACATGGATGTAGGCCTGTCCATGGAATCTATGATGATGAAGGTGATGATGCTGATGATGTTGATTAACTGTGTAATGATGACAATGTTGGTGATGATGATGATGATGATGCTGATGATGTTGATTAACTGTGTAATGATGACAATGTTGGTGATGATGATGATGATGATGGTGATGATAATCATGTTGTTGATGATAATGATGGTGATGATAATCATGTTGTTGATGATAATGATGGTCATGATAATCATGTTGTTGATGATAATGATGGTGATGAATCATACTGCTTCTGATATTAAGACGAGTTCAAGATAATGCTCACCTTTATCATTGAGCTTCTGCAGTTTTGTAATCACCTCGGCATCACTTAGACTATTCATTTCTGTGCAGAATGTTATGTAGACATGCCTAAAAATATTTAATTTATCAGTATRTGWAGATCTTGTAGATTATAYTGCCTACTTTTGAACGTAAAACCTAAACCAAACCAACAGACCAACAAAACACCCACCCACCCAATAAACTAACCTGTTAACCAACCAACCAACCAATCAATCARCAATTCACTGACCCAACTAACCCACTGATCTAACCAATCAACCAATTAATCAATTAATGAGAAATTTGTTTATATTAAATACTTTAAATGCCAACTTACTTATCCTTTGTAAGCTTCTCTCTATCTTTTATATTAGCAACAGTGGCCCATATTGGATGACGGAAARATGCATCAAGCGAAATACACAACAGATTCCCACTCAAAAGCCAGCGMGAATTACTAAGAAAAACACAAGATTTTCATTCAAAGATCATTATTATGAAATACTTGTAATGCCTTATTGCTACTAATTTCTATTTAATTCAAATTCATGGCTATGAAATGCAWCAAAAACAAAAATCATAACTTACTCTGGATCTACACTTAGGGCTTGATCATCAACTTTGCTATGCTTGAAATCGAACAAAAAGGCAAGTCCTTCATCATGGCAAAAATCTGAAGCAGCCTTTACAAGACTGATTCTGTTTTAGAAAAAAAAACACAACAACTACAGTATACATCACAACTATAGAAAACAAGGAATAACAATTTACAACACATAAAACTTGTTTGGCTTGCAGGAAAGTATATTTTAGTCTTGTASGTGTTCCTCATGTAAAGTAGAGCCTTGGGTTCAATAGACTTATGCACCTTAATGTAACTTCCATTTTTTAGTTTTCAATGAAAACATTTGATGCAAGTCCTGGCTACTTTTCAAGAACTTTCTGGAAGCAATAAAATACAGATTTCTCCCAATGTAAACAATAATTAGAGTATGTAATATGATAATAAAGGTATGGTAATACAAGCCGCAGAATTCAAAATAATACATGTATTTGATTCATGTTAAAACTGTTCTAATTTAATTGAAACTCAATTATGTTGAGATGTTTTTACAACAACAACCCAACCTGTTGCAAAATGATGTCATGAGAAAATCAGCTGACTGGTTTTGCCAATCAGAAATCAGGATTCCCTCAACTTGGAACAAATTATTTTACAGCTAGACAAGTTGGTTTGCCAGTAGTAAATATCCAGCATGATGCTTTATTACTTGTTTTGCAGCAATTCTACAAGACAAATTTGAAGATTTGCTGCTCACATTACCCAACCTAAAACATTACCTGTACAACATGACATTTCTTGAGTCAAATTCACCATCTTTAAGATACTTTCCAATTCCATCTTTTAGATTGAAGAAGCATTCCTCTCTCAGGAGAGTGAAGATGGTGTTGAGATATTCTTCATCTGAGCTATATGTGAAATCCTTGTCTTCGCCTTTCTTTTTCACTTTGATACAAGGAAGACTCCTCCAATCAGGAGCTARAAGAATTGAAGAAATTATTTTCATTTTCTAAGTCAAGTCCTAAAAATCATTTATAACTGCAGCAATGACTAAGTAAGGAGGTAAAAAGGAGGAAAAAAAAAGATCAATCCTTTTCACACAAGTAGGTGATAATACCTTAGGGGGGAGGGGGAAGGTTACTAAACTAGTCCCCATGTGTTTGTAATTATGCATTTCTTATTTTCAGGTGTCAGATTTTGGACTAAGCCACATGTACATGTACTAAAACACAATAAAGCACAGATATTGCCAAGAAAACACTTTATCAGCAAACCAATCCAGCTTACAATTACACAATATATAAATAAATCTGGCAAGAGACAAAGCTGTACAATGTATATTATGTATGTCTGACTTTAAGCTCGAATGCTACATGTATCATTTGAGACAGGCACTACATTCTTTTATTACTTGTATTAATGTTAGTAGAAATCTTACCAAAATCAAGCAGCTCAGTTGTGGCTGGGACGAGGGGTTTGTGGTTCCACTGAAGATCCTGAATGTTGTCTTTGGCACCAGGAACGTTCTCAGCCAAAGAACTAATGAGCTTCTGCATAAAGATCATAYCATTTTGGTCGGGAGGCCTTTTGAGGTAAAGATTTTTTAAAATTTCGTTCACTGAAATGGCACACTCTGGGATGACTTTCACAATATTCTCAATAAAAACTTGGACACCATCAAAATCAGATTGGAACAGTTCTTGTTTAAATTTTATAATTCCTGGCAAAACTTCTTTCAAGAACTTTGTTCCTTTGAAGGAGTACCAAAACTGCTTGGCCATTTCTGACATCTGAACTGGAGTTTGCAATGATGCAACTTCCTTGCAAATACACAAGATGGTCTTGCAAAAGTCAGCTTGCATTTTTTCRTCAGCTACCGGTACTGAATGATTCAAAATATAGTCCCAAATGGCTTGACATCTGAAAATAAAATTCCAAGTCATTTTAAGGAAATTGTGTGGAGAAGGTAGCCTTGATTTCAAATGTGCTTGGATCTGAAACATTTTCCTTCCAAAACACTGTCTGCAGGACAATAATATTGTTTTTGTTTTGATTTTTGCTTGATTTTGGAATACACACTGTACATATGCAGCACAAACATTATCTTTAATTAAGTGATGCTAGAAATGCATCCAGAAAAGAAAGTAAAAAAATTCCTACAAAAACTGTGAAATTTGGAAATAAATCAAACAATAATACTTTATTAAATTATTGAATTCGACTTTGGCTAAAAAGAATTACATTGAATTTAAAAATAGTGAAAAAAAGTCAATGCAGTTATATAAGGCTCTGCATGTGAAAGTTATGTTCAAAATCAAATCAATTATAGTTCTTACAAACAAACAAACGAACAAATAAAATGCAGCAATGTCAAGAACTTCGTAGGAAGACATGTTCATTGAGACTTCATGGGGGAGGAAAGCCTACATTCCTGTCTAAAAACAAACTATGGAACCTGAGACACATTTGAATGCATCTAAAAGGACACTGTATTTTTCTTATAAGTAGTACTGTACCTCAGAAAATCTTCAAGTATACTTTTTGAACGAACCAACTTCTCTAGAAACTGTTTGGTACCCTCCAGGTCAATGTTGTAGCAGCTAAAAGATGAAGCATAAGTGATGTTATTGGTTTAATTCCTCATTATAAGCTAAGCTTTTGCTAATAATAGGAGAGGACGTTATAGGAGAGGACATTCAAGTCCCTAGAACTGAGTCCTTAGGTCAGACTAGACTACCAGTAAGTCTGTGCTCTCTTAATTCATACCCTTATTCAAATACTGTACATGAAGTGGTGAATGTATTTTAAGTAACAATGCGCTAAAGAACTAGGGAACTCTCTATTGTTCTCCGGCATAGCAAGTTCCCCATGTACGAATGTCTTGATTTTCACACTGATTATGTATCCATCTGTGGGTAACACATTTTTGAAATAAAATGTGGATAAACTCTATTTTGAAACAAAGTTTCTTTTGTATTAAAAGCTCTTATCCAATCATAAGCACTCAAAACAATAGCCAAAAGATGCTTCTAATTTACAATGTTCCCCACATAGAATTGCCTTAATATTGAAGCTAAAGAAAGCTTTCATGAAAGCGAAAACAGACATTAAATAAAACATTAGAAAATTCGCTAACTTGTGAAATTATGTCAGATTTTCATGTTTTAACCAATGGGTTGGATGGATTATACAATGCGCAATTAGCACCTTCTTGCATTCCTGTGCCGTTTGCTTCCCTAGTTCTTGCTCGGGGCATTACTTAACATCCCTCTGGTGCTAGCGTTAAGCACAGAGGGGCGGAACCTCTGGCTTTCCATCCTCTCTAAGAAGACAAGGCACTGAGATAGTTAAGTGTCTGTTTTAAATGTTATCTAATTATCTACATGCAGTACATATATATTTTATAACTGCAACAAGTGATTATAAATACTCACCAAACCAGCTCTGGAACTAAATCAATCCTGCTACCATCTCGAACTTTTTGGGGCTTGAATACCCTCAGAACATCACCAACTCTAACGCTGAASCCCAAACCTGGCCAAYSKTCTTTYAYTTTCACTGGAAATTCCTCACCTTTTACAGTAAATACCCAAACAAATCCATCAAACTTTCGCAATACCACGGCTTCTGTGATTGTTTTTCGCAGAAAAACATCCTCTTCACCATGTAAACAATCTTCGAGATTTTCTTGACTTTCTCTTGACTGAATTTTGTTGGCCTCCCTAAATAAGAACTCCTCAAATTTTTTGACATATTCTTTTCTGAATTCATTTTTCACTTCAAGTTCCCCAAATTCTTCACGCATATCATTGAATCTTTTMAGSGAATGAAGCCTAAGTTTGAGTTCTGGAGAATCGTCGGTAAGCTCAGCTTTCTCTCGAYGGCGGTAGGAGACAGGAAAATTGACAGYCTTGATTTTTCCTAGCYCTTCTTCCATCGGCTTCCATGCTAGTGACTTRCAAACTCTTTTGACTTCAGCTTTTAGCATGTCACGCCAGTTCATTTTGGATCACTGTTAAGCACAGATTATCGCTGAAATGTTTTTAACTCGAAAAAAAATATTTCCTCCGTCATTGTGATTTCGAGAATTAAATTTTCAAGCTTTGTACAAAATTCCCATAGGGTGGTACSGCGATTCGAAAGAAAAGCAAGCTAGAAGATGTCCATGCTAAAAGTCACATTATAATACATTTTCAAGCCTTTCTAACCAWTGATATAATGGACCATCTTTCACAATGTTTTGCATCAATTTCATTGCAAATCAGAGCTATTTTCGATGGATTTATTGATAATGTTTTTGTCCTACCCCCACATACGGCCATGTTGACATCATCGTATGGAAATTCCCAGAAATCTGCCCATTGTACTTCTGCTATACATACTCTCCACAGCGTGTAGCAGCAATTTGCATATAGCTTAACATCTCAAATATAGAATCCAAAAAGTTAAATTCGTAGAATAGCGGCAGAAAGCCATTCAACATACTACCTACTTCATGCTTGAGATGAACTGTGTTGATTTTTCGCGCCATTACATGCGCGCGTCCAGAGATCAAGCTAGACTGGGTACTACTACACAGGTAGCCCAATGAGACTTTCTACGCAAAAAAATAGCTGAAAGATTGAAACTAAGTGGAAGAGAATTTTTATTTATTGCCAGTTTAAAGATGTAAAATACACATTATCATAAGCTTGTGTTTTTAAAGGTTTGCGTCCATGGCATCTAAAAACTTGTGATCAATAAGCTTTGGCACAAGGATATGCCTATAAAAAGACGAAACAAAAAATAGTTAAAAATCAAAAAAAGTTTAGGTTTGTAGTAAACGATTATTTACGAACCTGACTGGTACAAGTAGGATTAAAAGAACAGGAAAGAACATCTTGGTGTACGAGGATCCAAAAAATCCAAAGCCACATATGATAGCTAGTTGGAGAAGCTGTATTCCGGTATACTGGTGGATCTTTCGCTGTGGTACGCGCCTTATGTAATGGTTGGGCGGGTAGGCGCTCTGTACAACAAAAACAACAACAACAACAACAACGACGACGACAATGACAACAACAACGACAATGACAGCAATAACAACAACAACGAGAACGACAACAACAACAACAACAACAACAACAACAACGAGAACGACAACAACAATAACGATAACGATAACAACAACGACGACGACGACAACAACAACAACAACAACGACGACGACAACAACAACAATAACGACAACAACAACAACGACGACGACAATGACAACAATAACAACAACGATAACAACAACGACGAGAACGACAACAACAACAACAACAACAACGAGAACGACAACAACAACAACAATAACGATAACAACAACGACAACAACAACAGCATTGACGACGACAACAACAACAACAATAACGACAACAACAACGACAACAACAACAACATTGACGACGACAACAACAACAATAATAATAATAATAATAACAACAACAACAATAACGATAACAACAACAACAACGACGACGACAATGACAACAGAAAAGATAAAAAAATATGATCGAAATATTAAAACAAAACGCATAAAAAGGAAATGCAAACAAAGTTAAGTAGATAAGGAGGATGCCAGGGAAAGGGGAGAGGATGCCGGGAGGAAAGGAGGACAGACACTAGAGTATTAGAGTAATACATTGATCCAGCACCTGCTCAGTGACAAGCAACATAGATCTTTCAAACATCTGGTTGTTGTATAACGGTGTTATAGCTACAAACAAGAACAGTCCATCTAACACAGCATTAGGAATGTAACCAAGCGGTGAGGGTATCATTAACATTGACAAACCAATCAGGACGTGAGAGATCAAAATTGACAGGCGGGTTTCGCGAACTTTGACTATTCTGAAATAAAGCAGAAGAATGTAAAACACATAAGAAAACTACCACCCGGGACTACCACCTTTTCTGAAATACAAAATCATAGYGYCTTGTGGTCTAAATTCAGCAAAAACAACGCCATATTTGGCAGCATGAACAAAAGATGTTTGTACTGAACCTAGAYCAYAATGCAATGCAAACTGMTATCTCAGTAAAGGCATATTCACTGGATTATACGTACATATCAAACACGTGACCTTGATCTACCCTCTCTTCGACGTCAGCCAATGCCCTTACGTGTAGGGGTGAGTGGGGCAAAGCGGCATGTACCCATGGAAGTCCAAATAAGGAGAGGACACCATTTAGTAGTCCAATGAGAAGTAAATCGAGATGATATGCTGTACCTTTCTTCAGTCTGTTGGAAAACCGAAAGAGAATCAATGAATACACGAACGAACGAACGAACGAGCGACAAATGGACGAACAAATGAACGAGCGACGAATGGACGAACAAACGAACGAACGAACGAGGGACGAACTGAATACACGAACGAACGAACGAACGAGCGACAAATGGACGAACAAATGAACGAGCGACGAATGGACGAACAAACGAACGAACGAACGAGGGACGAATGGACAAACGAGCGACGAATGGACGAACAAACGAACGAGTGACGAATGGACGAACGAACGAACGAGCGACGAATGGAAAAACGAACGAACGAACGAGCGACGGATTAACGAACGAATGTACGCGCGAATAAATTAATAAATTAATCAACAGGCAAATAAAGCAATAAACGGAATTCTTTAATTTTACTAAACAAATGATCGAGTGACTTGATTGAAACGAATAGTCATATATCGCCGTACTTCTTTTTGTGGCATTTTAGATCATAAGCCTTTTTGTAGCTGATAGTTAATGGAAATTTTTAAGTCATACCTGTTGAACGAACGAACGAGCGACGGATTAACGAACGAATGTACGCGCGAATAAATTAATAAATTAATCAACAGGCAAATAAAGCAATAAACGGAATTCTTTAATTTTACTAAACAAATGATCGAGTGACTTGATTGAAACGAATAGTCATATATCGCCGTACTTCTTTTTGTGGCATTTTAGATCATAAGCCTTTTTGTAGCTGATAGTTAATGGAAATTTTTAAGTCATACCTGTTGCTAGGGCTGTTTACAATTGCGCTTCCAATATTCTGCTCTACAAAGAATAACAGTGACAAGCTAAAACCAAGTCCACATGATCCCARGACAGCACCAACGGACAAACTTGACAGAGAAGGGACTGAGAGCTGCACAGCTACGTCGTAGTTTTCGCTGTTCACTTTTAAACAWGAATGAATAGTTTAAGGTCCTACGTGTATACAAAAACCTCTTAAAAATGATACTTTGCTAAAGGCGCTTTCTGATTGGTAAAAATCAAAGATGGCGAATTTTCGTATGTGATTGTAAAATCGCGCACAGGTTCTTGTAGATGCGTTTAACTTAAAAAAAATACAAGAGGCAAAATTGAAACCAAATATGACTCTTACTAGTGACGTCCTTGAAGATAAATGACCCAACAAAGGAGAACAAGATGACTGAGACTGGGAGGGCATAGTCAGCTAAAGCTTCCCTCTTATTTGCATCCAGAAGAGGACTGTAAAAATTACAAATAAAGATACAGTATTCGTCTTAATTAAAGATTTCATTGTTTTTTTTTTACTTCAAAAAGTTACCTTTTCTTGCAGCTGTAAAGTGTGACGCCTAGCAGCACGCAGCCGCAGCTAAGCAGTATGTATAGGGTACCACCCTCTCTAGAACAGAAGCACTCATCATTGTTGACTCCATGGCAACTGCTGGTCACGTTGGTGACGTTATTGCTCAGCGGTATCAMACGGCAAGTTGGTTTACTGTATTCTAAAAATATACATCGATTATAAARTCATTTATCTCAAATATTCAACGATCAATTTTAATCAACAAGCGAACAGACCAATGAACAGACACCTAGACAGACCAACGAGTTAACGAAACAATCAAGCAACTAATCAAGGCATCAAAGAATTCATTTTTAACAAGACCTAGATTGACAAGTTCAAATAACAGATAAAACGGCACCGATATATGCATCTAAATTGATCCTTTTACCTTCATAAATGCTCTCAAAAGACGCAACTGCAAAGGCGACTGATATAAACAAGGCAAAAATCTCGTTTATCGATCTGAAAAAATAGAAAAAAAGGTATTGACTATGAGTTTGAATGTCGCTGAATATAGTCGGCCCTGACTTGGTATATAGGAACTGGGATCACCAGGCTTGGAATCAGGATCATAAACCATGTGATCTAAGATTACAGACATGGGATCAGGATAGAAAAAGGACATCAGGATATGTTATCTTACGACACGATTATACCTGGTAGACCATCGCATCACATACGATACACCGAACACTGAATACAAGACGAGGAAAAACRTATTCCATAGACCGGTCAGTGTGTACATGGCGTGAAAGTCGAGATCCATGTCTTCACAAATGTCATACATTACTAGGAAGAAAATATCAATAAATGATCAATTGATATATCATYTTTTCTGATTGGTTATAGATATGCGTCCGTTTTCAGTTTTTATTGTTGAGACCGCTGGCTCACCTTTAACGTAAAGTGCAAGCGGCGCCGTCGTAAGAAGGACAATTAATGGCTGACCGGAAAGAAGAGAATACAAGATACCACTTATGGACTGTGCTATGATCACTTGTTTCACACCTAAACAATATTTTAGTAATTAATATTTATACAAACACATAACTTTTTAAGTGGTGGAGAACCCGTGCTCCTCTCGCAGTGCGATTGGTTCTTCACCACTTGTTAGATACCATGTTTAGGGGGAATGATTGTCTCTTTTTRGATTTTTCGAGGCCGTGTGAGCACTAGGAGACATTAYCTTTAAATGGAGAGAAAGTTGACAAATCGGCAAACGTTTTACCTATTTTTCCTTGGGTGTTTTTACTGTTCAAAACTCCAAAGGCAATTGATGGTAGAAGACATGCGAAATACAAGAAAAATACTGTKGATGCTAGTTTATGCGGCGTACGGTGACCTCTTATMCCTGTGAAACACAAAAACAGCGACAAAAAGAAGTTTTCATATAAATATCTATGGAKCAAGAAGTGGTATAGGTGTGCAGATGGATKCAAATAAGAAGAAAAGAAAGACAAAAGTTAATCACCATCAGTGAAGTCAGAAGGATAATGTGGCCATCGCCGCCTTACATCATCAGTAATACCGCGACCAAAGGAAAACTGGGTTTTCTCCTGTCGGTAAGAAATATTAAATTACTTCAACGCAAGCGCCCTTTTACAGAGTTTTGCCGCATGTTTGCATGSATGGGCTGCCTGAGCATTTGTTCATAACCCTTCATAACTTCGAGTACCTCTRGCTCGTTTGGCGTTTGAAGAAAAGAGGATGTTCTGATACTAGCAAGGTTTTTCATCTTTCTCTGATATTCACCAGAAGCCATAGATTTCTTGCATTCAGCTAGGACGTTCTAGAATTAATACATAGGTTTGAATGGAATGCTTCAATTACGAAATGATGATCACACAATAAGCGAGACAGACAAAGACAATTAATGTACGTAAAGAATTTATAGCTGAACCTACCAAGAATTCAGTCTCATTTTCMGAAGCTATCAGCTGCTGTCGCGTCTCAATGTCAGAGAGAATAGTTGCAAATGTTCGTCCAGTCTCCAAAGAACTTTTTGTCTTTTTCTGAAAATTGAGTAGCAAAGTAAGGGATTCTTGGCTCCTTGTAATGACGTATTCGGACATATAGGCGCGCAAAGCCTGAATTTTTTTGACCATGTTCTATCAGTAGTGCTTCAACATTGATTACTGAGCTCTGGGGCGTGATCTCACCGTTTTACGTGGAGCCAGTATCAGAACCACAAGATGGGCTTCCTGCAGTGTCCTTCCAAAATTGGTAGCATGACAGAGGGTGGTCATCGMTACGTAGCTCCGATTAAGCCACGATAATTCAGCCCTGGAAAAAAGATATTTATGATGGCATTTTATTATGCTGTAGAAACTCAGAGTTCAAGAGAACTGTTTATAGAAATATCGGTATTTGTTTTATTACATTGTTATAAGCCAGTTTTGTGCTTCTTCCCAGCCACTTCCTTCTGCTTTCTCTGTRCCTTGGATCACATGAGATAGGTGATGAACTATAGCAAAAAGTTATAATCATTTTCAGGCTCTAAAAGGTGGTTAAAATGGAGTTCTTTGTTTTAAAATTGCACTATGTTACCAGAATCTTTGGTAAAGAARGCATTTTTAGCCTCTTCTTCATCGACTACGCAACCTTCGTTGTTTGAAATYAGYTTCTTCAGTGCCTTCTCTATTATATCGTCCAGGCGGGTCTCATGAACATTTAGCAAGACTGTAGGACTTTCTATAAACCTTTCAACTTCTTTTAGCGCGCGAACTTCATTGTAGACATCTTTGACTTCGATTTTCTTTKTATCATAGAAAATATAAAATAGTTATTGCATGCAAGGTAGGAGTATTTTTATGGTTTTCCTATAAAAAATCTTATCATTCCTCTTGTTCGTACCATGTGCTTTGTATARACTAGCGAGGTTTTCGTGGCTTCGTMTTCAAGCTCCACTTCACAATTATCTACGAAAAGACATGAAAGAGTTTTAAAAAACAAATTAAAAATGGTCAGTTTGAGTGACATAGCTGCTAATTTATCTTATTTTGTTCATAAATAAAGAGACTATTCGAGACTATATACGATCTTTTCATTTTAAGAAAGAGAAACAAGAAGTAAAAACTTTATAATTTAGCTTAAGTTATAAGGCTTTTCTCGCTTTCAGCAGCTTTCCCATGAAGCTTATAACTTAAGCTTACCTTTTTTGCAAACAAGCCTTCTTCTGATAGCTCTTTTATCGTTCGTGCAAAGAACACGAGTCCAAAAATAATCTTTACAATGTTAAAACTTAAAACATTTACCTCTGGAAAGCATGAGGTTTTAAAAGACACTGGAATGAACTGCTAGGAACAACTTAAGCTTACAGATTACACAGTGAAGCATCWTAATGACAGCTTACCTTGCACTGGTGATGGTCTCAGCAAAATATCATCAAATTTCAAACCATCTGAATCCCTTTCCRCGGTTGATGGATTTATTCCTCGTTCGCTCAAGTTTGAATCATCAACAGTATCTTCAGACATTTCCAGCATTTCCATTTTTACAGCAACTCTCCAGCTCCAGCTAAAGTAAAATTATGTGATGCAATACATTTGTACAGCGGGTTTTTCTTTTACGCACGCGTAAGTATAATATCGTACCCAGATCTCTTCGATCCCAGATCATAAAGCTCAGTTTCTAAGCAAAGGTGGACGTAGTTTAGTTGGTTTAGAGTGCAAGCACTAAAACTGTGCAACATAAATACCACTAAATACTGCTAAATTATGCAAATCTATTGTTTTCTATTGTTTAATTAAAACTATTTTGYAGTAAATAGTGGAAAGTGTTGCACATATTTAATGTTTGTACTCTAGCTTGCTTTACTCTGCGAACAGAGGTGCTTTTCTCACCCGCCGAAAAGCGAGAGAAAATATTTTTCTCTCGCTTTTCGGCGGGTGAGAAAAAGTACTTCTGTTCGCAGAGTAAGCTTGCTTAGAACACATGGTCTTTAGCCCATTTGACAAAAAGAAAAAAAAAGTTTACCAAATAAGCGACTGACGATAAAATAGCAATTCCCACTAATATTATACGTCATCTCTCGTACGAAAACGCATTGAAATGATGTTTTCACAGTGTGAAAATATAACATTGACAGCTGAAAATAACACTCACCATGGATACTCCATGCAAATGCTCCACTTTCGAATTCAAAGCGAAAGCCGCTGTTTTTTTGACAGCAGATTCTCTTACGCAAAGAAGAACCTACCAAACACACAAAAAAAAAGCACGAGAAAATGTTCAAAGTACAACAGCGCTAAAACTTTACATTTTCCCCGAGTTGAGCTATACTAACCCTGTATTCCCAGAAGGCTCATACCTTAGGTCTTATGGCAAAGTGTACAGGGTAATAGTCTCAACTCGGGAAAATGCAAATTTTCAAGGCTATTATAATAAGGCGACATTTTCTCGTGCTCTCTTTGGTGTTTGGTCCGAGGTCTTTGCGCAAGAGAATCTGTTGTCAAATAAAGCAGCGGTTTTTCGCTATGAATTCGAAACTGGAGTATTGCCTTATTTCTTGTGTTAAAGATATAAATTTGAGTTTTGTATAAAAAGAACACATGAAAAAATAATCAATTGAAGATATTTTATATTTACGTGTTCAAACGTTCAATTGATAAAACTAAACGCCGTATTTCAGCGCGCCCGTGCAATACTGAGCCTTTCATTGAAAAATATGTATAAAAAAATATGTAGCCTAGTGTAAACATACAAATATAAAATATCACTTATTTAATGAATAGTTTGATCATTAATCAGAAAGTAAAASCAACCAGTTAAACAACTTACCTCGGCTGTAAAAGCACTCTGAACGAAAAATAACTTAGCTTATTTAAAATGAACAAAACGCTGATGACGTCATTCCGCGACAATATTGAATTAATTTCAAATTCAAATTAGTTCACAGATAAAAGAGTTCTATCAGGCTTTTCAATAATATGGATGTTTTATTTTCCCTTTTGTTGTGAGTGTTTCATTTATATTGATGATAACATTTTCTAATAACAATTTTAGAATTCAAAAATCAGCATACAAAAAAATTCTCACTATACTATAGATAGTATGAACATGTTAGTGCATTTCCAAAAAACTGATTTCTACTGTAAAATTATCTGATAATAGTTATGATGTAAGAGTTTTCTTTTAAAAATTCTGAATAAAATCTGTGCAACTATGATTTTGATTGATACTGAAAGAAAAWTTCGATTCCGGTCCACTGCAACAATTTTTGTGGTTTCTCCCGCCATAAGAATAGGAGAACCACTGTCTAAGTATACCCTGCAGTGGAAAAAACGYCACTACTCTTCAGAAGTAGAAATGTTTTCTTGGACACCTCTTAACGCTGAYAAAAAAGTCGGCAGCCTGCTGACGATCTGTTCTGGTTCCCAGTCCTCAMTCCTTAAAAGCTGATTACATTGATCACTGTATAAGTGCACATCAGTCTAAGAAGAGAAGAAGAGTGGATAGATAATCAAATTAGAAAAACGGTTCAACAGGCAATTTTCAATGACGTTGTACTGAGTAACCTGGCCAGTTACTAGTCACGTGAATTTAATGTCATACTGACGAGTTCTTAGTACCAATCAGTCTTTCTCACTTCTGTCCCTCTGTTATTTATACATCTCCTTTATTTGTTCCTCTCATATTCAGTCTCAGGCATTTTTTCAGTTTTCAATTCAGTCATCCAGTCCATAAATCAATCTGTATTATCTATTTATTCATTAGAGTCCGTAATATATTTTCAAAAGTTGTAGTCTTCTTCCATTMAATTCAGTTTGATACCTTTATAGCTGTTCTCGCGCCAATYAGCTCCTCTTCATCTGATATAACTATGGTAAAACTTTCCTCTTCCTCAGTGTAGCYRTATAATCGCCGCTTACATTTGCGAAGGAACTGCAGAGCAAAATCGTAAGGCATATATTTATCATCGGGTAGACAGATTTCTCCTTCGTCACTAAAGGTAATTCTGTCCAAATATGTCTTCAAAGTTTCTTCATGTTCATTTTCTTCCATATCGGGACTCCTTGGGACTAAGAGAAAAAGAAATTGAGATTAGTTACAAGTAGCATGAGGCCTAGTACGGGACCTAAAATTGCCTAAAATAGCCCCAAATCGCCTAAAATCGCCTTTATGTATCACAGACATTTCGGGCAGCTTCCTGTGGTGAGCAGGCAGGCAGGCAGGCAGGCAGGCAGGCAGGCAGGCAGGCAGGCAGGCAGGCAGGCAGGCAGGCAGGCAGGCAGGCAGGCAGAGGAACGGAATAGAGGATGGTATAGTCAGTTAGTCTGATAAAGGCAGACAGTGACAGACCTGTACGAATCATTATACGGACATCCATTGCACGAGATGGAATTGCGATGTTGACTTTGGCTCTGTGTCTGAAACCYTCACACAACACGTACTCTTGCTGCGATGTTGATGACAAACAAACTTCTTTGACGTCAATAAATTGGCGCGCAAATTCCAGATTCAATGGTTTTCCATTTAAATCAAGAAAAAACTATAAGAAAAGAACAAGAGAAAATAGGAATCCGTTTGAGTATATAATCATAAATCCATAATTGGAATGGGCTTATAATCCTACGTCACATACTTGATTTGCAATGCATTGCGGGATCAGTTTCTGGCAAACATTGCAAACATATTAGAAATCCGCCAAATGTTTTAGTTCCAAGCATATCCTACAATGCATTGCGTATGTGGTATATGACGTAAGAGCTTCAGAATCTATTAGTATATAGMCATGGACAACAAAGTCTTGTATGCCTTTGAAAAGTCCTGGAAAATAATGTCAATTCAAAACGACAGATACAGTAGCTGATACATAAATTAAAAAAAAAAAGAAGTGGAACCCCATCCGCTTAATACGGCCAGGCAGTCTAACGGTCAAGTTTTTAGGCYCCAGGAAACCATATTTTTCTATCCCGTTAATACGGCCACTTGCCTGAGTCACTTCGGTGGCCGGAGTAATGCAGTTTCACTGTAATATTTKAAATATTCTACAAACCTTTGCTCGAACGTTGCCACACGATGGCGTTATGAAGGTCAAATCGTATCTGATGTGAGGTGGTATCGTCTTGTGTTTATTGCTTGTTAGTGCGCTTTCCAATTCTTCCACTAACATATTCTTAATAGCAGGATCTAATAGCATCTTCCAGCCCCCTTTTTTGTTAAATTGGCTTCGCAAATTCTCCAATGAATATGTTTCATCTCTGTCCGCTTAGATATGAAAGATAAAATTGAGCTTTTCATAGAGAAACTTGTCCAAAGCATATATTTTTTGTCCAAAGAGTTCGCAAGAGGCAATTTAATACCTTCATCAACATTTCCTGTGATGTTCAGATGTCCAAAATGACACCAGAAGTTTGCTTTAGGGATTTCATCACTAGTGCCATCTTTAGCTTGTATTTTCTGGAGAACTTTATCGACGATTTCTTTGAGGTCACAGATTTGCATTTCTTCATTTACCTTAAAAAGTCAATTGATTAAAAAAAATGATGATAATGATGATGATTATTATTTAAGATCTTCAAGTATTATCTCAGTTTTTCACCAGCTTTTAGGCTTTTGTGCCAATCAGAGTTGTCCAAAACAGAAGAGTGGGATTGAGGGGAGTAGGGAGTACAATTTCAATCATA